AGCTGATCGATGGCTGCGTGGACGGCTGGGCCACGATGTGGGCCACCCGCGGCTGCAAGAGCGCTCCGCTTCCGGACGGCGCTGAGCAGCGGCCGCAGCTATTTCCTATCGGCGGAGACGACATCCGCCAGGTGCTGCCCAAGTTCGGCAGGGGCACCGCTGTCGGGCCGTTGCGGCTGGCACCGCGGTCGCTGATCTGGCTAAGCAGCACTTCAGGAGGGGAGAAAACACACAGACACAATTAATCTTCGATTCCAGAGAGAATATGGGAAAATATGGGAAGTGGGGGGGAAGACAGAAGCCCAGAAAATATGGGAAAATATGGGGGGTATCTTTATTTGTGTGTATTTATTTGTGTGTCCCAGGGCCCCTTCAGCATTGGCCTCGAGACCATTGCTGACCTCTCTGTGAAGTGCGAGGCCCTCGGCACGCGGCCCGCCGAGCGCGTCGCCGCTGGATTGGCCGGGCCCCCGAAGGCCGACTTAATTAAGCCAGGTGAGCGTCGCCTGGTTGCGCTGCTGCGCTCTCTCATCAGGGCGCGTGGGAGGACGAGGCGTCCCCAGGCCCCATCGCGTCGTGAACAAAATCACGACGGAAGGTTTTTCGCTAGTTTCGCCCTCTGGAGGTCCTCACCAGGCCTCAGGACCGTGAAAAAACGACTCAGAATGGAAAACCGGTCCCGGGGAAAGGGTCCAGACTTCTGGGGGTCTACGTTGTGAAAAAATCACGACGTCGGGGGTCTGGGTCCTGCGTCGGTGGAGCGGGAGGCGGGGCGCCAGTCGGACCTCCTTTGGGGCTCGGGCCCCGGGAGCAGTAGCGCGGACTGCGCCTGGTCTCGCAATCTCGGGGCGGAGATCGCTCGAAACACCAGCCTTCCCTGTGCCCCTGTCTTAATCGATATGATCACATGTTATGAGACGACACTGCGCAGTGCCATCTTGCGCGTGGTTGCCAGGGCAGGATGTCCTTTAAGATTGGCTTAGATGCTAGTGCGCGTATACCAGCAGCCCCGCCTCCCGCCTTATCAAGGGATTTAACCGTGCGAGTGCCCCCCACGCGTCGTGCCAGGGGGCGCCGGCGGGGCGCTGCCACGCCGCCAACCTGCTGCAAGTCCTGCCTTCGAGGCCGCCCTGGAGACTTAACGCGCGAGTTTGAGTTTATAATGCCCCGAGGCCTCATGGATGATGCATCATTCCGGTAGGTTGGCACGGCGGCCAAACACGCGGGCATCGTCTTCAAGTCTTCAATGTTCAACTTGCTTTGCTAGATACACTAGGCGACTGGGGTCCCTGTTGCAGGCTAGCGAATCCGGTTTCTCGGCATCCACTGCAGAGGCCACCGCGGCGCGCAACCATGGTCACGACGCGTTTGCGGGCGGCGCTGCGCGCAGAGCTCTCGAAGAAACGTTTGGAGGCGGCCTTGGGGCGACGCGGCAGGTCGCGCGCTTCGAAGCGTTCCGGAGGCCTCAAGTTTCGAGCTTTGTGGCGCACGGGTGCAATGCCAGCAAGTAGTCGCGGAGCTGGGGTCAATGGGCTCACCGACTCCACTTTGACGGTCTCTTCGATCGCTCGCGGGCGAGCTTGTCGGGGCCCGCGGAAGCCCGTCTTCGCTCGTTGCGTATGCACACAGGGACGGGTTTTATGATCCCGTTTTTGATGCGACGTGCCCGTCGGTTTCCAGTCGTGCCATCTGGATTTGGGATGGCCGCGCCTCGCCTAGCCAGCCCCAGGCGGCCTGGGCGGCCATCAGGGACATACTTGGGGCCCAGGGGTCTTGGAATATGCGATTCGGCCCTATCTGCGCTGTGTGTTTATCTCTTCGGAGGGCCGGCTGGGATACACATACACACATACGTACATACATACATACATACATGCATGCATACATATATATATATATATATATATACATACATACATACATACATACACACACATACATACAGACAGACAGACAGACAGACATACATACATGCATACATACATATGTATATGTATGCATACGTGCACGGATACATGCATACATACGTGCATGCCTGCATATATACATGCACACCTACATACAGACATACACATACACAAACGTACACGCAATCATGCATACACACATGAATGCATGCATGCATGCATGCATACATACTTACATACCTGCATACATACGTACGTGCGTACGTACATACACGCATACCCGATTGCATGCATACGCATATGCATGCATGCATGCATGCTCACATGCATGCGTTATCCATGAGTGCATACATACATACATACATGCATACATGCATACATGCATGCATACATGCATACGTACAGACACATACATACACATATACATACATACAGACACCGATGCCTACAAACACCTATGCAAGCATATAGACATACATACATACATGCATACATGCATGCACGCATGCAAACATACATATAGACATCCGCGCATACACATACATATATGCATACACACAAGTTTGCATGCATGCATGCACGCATGTACACACACACATACATGCATACAAGCATACATACATGCATGCGTACGTACACACATACATACAGACTGATCTACATACATGCGTACATACACCCACACGCATACATACACATATGCATGCATGCATACATACAATCATACATACAGACAGACAGACAGACAGACAGATGCTATATGTATATATCCGTAAGGGCTTCGCCCCCTGCCGCCGGCCCCCTCTCTCGGAGAATGGGCCATGGAAGAGCTAAGTCATGAGGTCTTGGCGCTGTCGTGAAGCAGTATCGAAACTTCATGCGGAGCCGATTCGCAATCAGCAAAACCAACTGATCACAAGAGGGGTTACCACACCTGGCGATTGGTAAGACGTGTATGGTTTACGGGCTTGGTTACCACACCTTGCGATTAAAGGGCCGAGGGAGTTCTCGCAGTTTGGGTTACCACGCCTTGCGATGGATGTGCGTGAAGGGTGGCACCGAATTTCAGAAATGTGGCAAATCCCCTGTGTTTTTGGACCCTGACCCCGCGGATCTGCGTGAGGGGTGGCACCGAATTTCAGAAATGTGGCAAATCCCTTGTGTTTTTGGACCCTGACCCCGCGGATCTGCGTGAGGGGTGGCACCGAATTTCAGAAATGACACCCTGATCTGCCATTTTGTTTGTGTTTTTGGACCCTGACCCCGCGGATCTGCGTGAGGGGTGGCACCGAATTTCAGAAATGTGGCAAATCCCCTGTGTTTTTGGACCCTGACCCCGCGGATCTGCGTGAGGGGTGGCACCGAATTTCAGAAATGTGGCAAATCCCATGTGTTTTTGGACCCTGACCCCGCGGATCTGCGTGAGGGGTGGCACCGAATTTCAGAAATGTGGCAAATCCCATGTGTTTTTGGACCCTGACCCCGCGGATCTGCGTGAGGGGTGGCACCGAATTTCAGAAATGTTGCAAATCCCCTGTGTTTTTGGACCCTGACCCCGCGGATCTGCGTGAGGGGTGGCGCCGAATTTCAGAAATTTGGCAAATCCCATGTGTTTTTGGATTCCGCGGATCTGCGTGAGGGGTGTCGATTTCGAGCCCCCCCAGCAATTCAGACAACGCGCCCAGGGGGTGCTAAAAAGCGGGTTTGGGCCTCCCCCCCCCTCGCGCGGTCAATCAACTAGTTACAGTAACCAGCAATAAGCAGAACTGTAACACTGGAAACTACAAGCTACAACTTGCACAGGAAACTGCGAATCCCGCTCCTCGCAGCCTTGTGGCCCCACAAGGGGGCCGGCGGATACGTATCCTCACGACTTCTGTGGTAATTCGGGTCTCCCTCCCAGAAGCTACAATGTGGCCAACACCTGTTTGCAAAGCCAATGCTGTTGGCCTTCTCGCTGAGGCCTCTTGGGGCGTCTTGGGTGCCTCTGGGGGTCTATTGGGGCCTCTCGGGCATCTGTCAGGACAAAACACACAGACACTGATAAACGTCGATTCCCAAGACAATATCATTACATATTGGGAGTGGAGGGTCCAGACGAAACTCCAGAAAATATGGAAAGATATAGGGGAATCCTGGGATCTGTGTTTATTCATTTGTGTGTCCCTGGGCGCCTTCAATCTTGGGGGCCTCTTGGAGAGGCCACCGTTCAGGTGAGGGGCCCTGAGATCCCGGGCCGCCCAGATCGGACCGGCGCCCGCTCCCACGCGAGCGCGCAGGGGGAATGGAGAGGAGAAGGATGCAGGAGGAGAGCGAGGAGGAGGAAGAGGAGGAGGAGAGGGAGGAGGAGGAGGAGGAGGAGGAGAGCGAGGAGGAGGAGGAGGAGGAGGAGAAGGATGCAGGAGGAGGAGGAGGAGGAGAAGGATGCAGGAGGAGGAGGAGTAGGAGGAGGAAGTGGACGAGGAGAAGGAGGAGGAGGAGGAGAGCGAGGAGAACCAGGAGGACGAGAACGAGGCCCCTACAAGACCCCTAAGTTGGTTGATTGGTTGGTTGGTTGGAACATTTTCTGACCTACTGTGATTCCGCGTGCACGAACTCTTTGGCAGGGCTGCCAGTAGGCAACCCAGAAGTATTCTGGCCTAGCCCGACCCCTGCCATCGCTTGAAGGCCGGAGGGGGGAGGAAGGGATTCCCAGGGCCTCCGCTATGGCCACTCACGCAGCCGAAGATGCAGGAGGAGAACGAGGAGGAGGAGGAGGAGGACGAGGAGAACGAGGAGTCGTCGAGACTGCAGGATAATGATGATGATGATGTTGAGGAGGAGGAGGAGGAGGTGGAGGAGGAGGAGGAGGAGGAGGAGGAGAGGAGGAGGGGGAGGAGGAGGGGGAGGAGGAGGAGGAGGAGGAGGAGGAGGAGAGCCAGGAGAGCGAGGAGGAGGCTGGAGGAAGAACGAGGAGGAGGAGGAGGAGGACGAGGAGGAGGAGGATAAGAACGAGGAGACCGAAGAGAACGAAGAGAACGAGGAAGAGGAGGGGAAACAAGGAGAAGGCTGGGGCGAGGACGAGAACGGGGACCGCCGCTCCGTGCCGGGGAGGGCAACGCCTACGCGCGCTTCTACGCCGGCATCCTGCGCCCCCTGATGCCGCCGTCCCCAGGATTCCACCTAGCCGAGGTGGGCGTGCTCGCGGGCGTGGGGCTGGCGATGTCTCGGGTGTCGCCAGAGGTGGCTCTGGCCCAAGGTTCGGCTGCACGAGAGAGCGACCCTTCGCCAGAGTGGCCTCGGGTGCGCGGCCAGCGAGGGGCGCGGAGGGACAAAAGCCCGTGCGTGAACGCCGCTGCCGTTGCACCGCAAGCAGCCATCTAGGCCTCGAGAGGGGTGCTTAGGGGCCTTGGGGCCCCCGTGGAAATAAAGGGGGCACCTTGGGCCAGGGACACCTCTGGCAACACCCGAATCCTAGAGGACCTGAAAAACCGAGCAAACCCCAAACTTTTGGAGGACCGCGCGGATTGATTGGGTCGGCGCTGCACAAACCTCCCACACCCTTGCCACAGCACATGGAGCGCGCCAGGGGTGGCTCCGGGGGGGCGCCGCCAGGGGTGCGAGGAGCGGGTCCGGCGCGGATCCATGAGATCCGCGCGGACCTCCGAGATGCCACGTTTGTGCTGTTTTTCTGGTCTTCCTCATCTCGAAGAACAAAAAAACGGCAAAAGCATTAAGTTTCAACGGTCCGCGCGGATTTCTTGGATCCGCGCTGGGCCCCCCTGGCGCCGCCTCCGGCGCCGCCTCTGGCGCGCTCCGCGGGCCAGTGAGGGCGCTCTCGCGCGGATCCGAGGAATCCGCGCGGACCGCCGAAAGTTTATGTCTATGCCGTTTTTTGTTCCTCTGCCATCTGGTCCGAGTTCCTGCCCCAGGCCACGCTGCACGGCTTCGACGCTTTCCTGGGCAACGTGCACGGCGCGCTGCCGGAGCTGCGGTCGCGCGGCGCCTTCGCGGGGGGCGAGCTCCGAGGCAGGGACTCGTACTGCTCCACCGCTGCGAGGGGCGATCTCTTGAGGCAGCGGACGCGTGGATGCTTTCGGGCCCCAGGGGGCCCAAAGACACCGCCCCCTCTGCCTTTTGAAAGCGCCTGTGTGGCCCAACGGTTGTGGCTAGAGCTCGGCCAAGCCATCGGATCACGTGGTCCCCCGGCGGTTGTGGAAACGCTTCGGGGAACACGTCGGATGAAGAAAAAGCGGAGGAGAGATCTTTTCGAGTTTTCCTGTAGGCCCTCCGAGGCCTTTGGGGGGCCTCTCGGGCCGTCTTGGGCCATCTTGGGACCGTCTTGAGCCATCTTGGGTACATATTGGGCCGTCTTGGAGACATATTGCGGTCATCTTGGGCTCTCTTGGGGCCGCTTAAGACGCCTTGGAGGCATCTTAGAGGCTATCTTCAGCCGTCTTGGCCGTCTTGGGGCGTGACGATCGATGACCTAGAAAATTCTTGACGCTTCGCGTATCCCAACCAGTCCGTCTGCGTACCTGGTGACTTCCTCCCACGGTACCCACTTGAGCTCGTGTGCGCTCGCACCTCTCGGGCTCCTTTCTCCTGGCTGCGCGCCGCTTCTCCGGGTTCGCCCGTCTGGTGGCACCGCCCCGCTCGGCAGACGTGTGGTCTGTTGGTACAGAACAGGTCACGACCTCTCCTGGCGTGCAGGAGCCAATTCACTCGCATGTGTGCATCAGCTACCCTGGCCGTTTGCAGTCAGCTCAGCCAGCTCTGCCTCAGCCTGCGGCCCCACTGGCGGTAGGTTTTGATTCCGGGCTCGGCCGCTGTGCTCTTAGGCTTGCGCGTTGCTAATTTGACAGGCCCGTGGCCCGGACCTCTCAGCTCGGCGACTGCGAATCCGCGTCCGCCCGCGACCCAAAAAAAATAAGTATCCCAACCAGTCTCGCCCGTCGCTCTGTTGGTGTTTTCCCGCGTTCATCCTGCCGTTTCCGCCCCAGCCTCTTGCATGCGCATTCTGGCAGCACTGTGCCCCAATTCTGCTGTTAATTTGTCTGTGGCGCGTACCCGCTTCGACTGGACACGCCGCCGGCGCTTTCGCCCGCAGCCGCTGATTAAAAAAGTACCCCCACCAGTTCGCAGCGGCCCTGTCAGCCCCGGCCCGTGGTCCCCCCAGTTCCATTGGCCCAACCTCACCGTTGGCGCATGGAGTCCCTGAGTGCACGTGGTTCAGCCTGTGCTCTCCTGGCTGTCGGATCATTATGTTGACTACGTCCACGGCTCCTGGCGGCGATGCCCACGGCACTCGTGTTCACTCGACCCCGTGCCTGAGACGTGGATTGCCCTGGTCCTGGTCAGCTCTCAGACGTCGGCGCCCCTGTTCGTGAGTGCGCTTGGCTTTTCCTGACCCGGTGGTTCAGGCCTGTTACGGTGTCGATTACATCCATCGTTTCCCTGGCTACTTCGCTGGACCGCCCGGGATCACCCCGTGGACGGTCGTATGCAGGATCGGTACTCCCTTCATGAGTGTCAGTGTGCGACTTTGGTGGCGCCACCCTATGCACCAGTTTTATGGCCAGTATGGTCTCCTGGTAGGTTGTGCAGTGTACTGGTGGTGGCCTTCCTGGCCACATCCTGGTACCAGCTGCAGCCCGCACCGCCCCTCACGCTGGCCCGCCCGCCTAGGTGTTGCTTAGGTCGCCGGCCCGTCGGCGTTGGGCAATTCGGCTCTTGCGCGGCCCGCTCGGACCTTACTCGCCGCTGGCGCTCTCGCCTGCGGCTGCGACGCAAGAGGTATCCCCACCAGCCAGCGGGGTTTCTGATCGGGCCGCTCCTGCTCGCTGTTTTTTCCTTCCGTCGGCGCGTAGCCCGCCCGTCCTGCACGGTTTCGACTTGCTTCGCGAGCCCGCGTACCAAAAAGCATCCCCAACAGCCCATCTAGAAACGATGCCCAGGCGAGTTTCCTTTATCACGAGGGTGTAGAAGCGTGCGGTGGGGCAAGTTTTGGATTAGCCTGATGAGACCCAAGACGACGAAGAGGACGAGGAGGAGGATGACGAGTAGCATGAGGAGGAGACGGAGGAGGAGGAGGAGAAGGAGGAGGAGGAGGAGGAGGAGGAGGAGGAAGAGGGCTGGGCGGAGAAGGAGGACGAGGTTGTCAGGAGGCCCTCTTGAGGTCCTCTTGGGGCTGTCCCGGCACTCTAGGGGCCATCTTGGGGCTATTCTGGATGTTGTTGAGCTCCTCTTAGGGCTCTCTTGGGGGTCTTGGGACTCTCGTCGTGCCCTCTTGGGGGCCTCTTGGCGTTCAGCGCTGGGAAGAGCTTGACTAGGCGCCAGCCTGAGTCAGAGGAGCGCATCGGGCGTATCTCGTCGGCTGCGCCGGTCGGTAGCACACTGAGTAATCGGAGCAGTTCTGAAGACCTCTTTTGAGGCTATCTTGAGCTATGCTCAGCTAGGTGCTAGACTCTGTCGGAGGCCATCCTGAGCCATGCTCATCTACAGTCGACCCGCAGAGTAAAGATAGGCATCCCTCCCAAGGGTACCCTTGCATCCTTGCTTCCTGGGTCCATCCTTGGACACTTTCGTTGGCCGCGCCCCGCTCGAAACGCTTCGAGATGGGCGTCCAAGGGCCTTGCATCCTCATCGCGCATCCTTGCTCTGCGGGTTGACTGTATCTTGGGCCATCTTGAGGCTGTCTTGAGGCCTCTTGGAAGTCTGTCGGAGGCTATCTTCAGCCGTGCCAGACCTCCCGGGACCATCTTGAGGGTAGGAGGAGGAAGAGAAGGATGAGGAAGAAAAAGAGATAAGGTGGAGGAGGGGGAAGAAGAGGATGAGGAGGAGTGCGGCACGAGGAAGATGAGTATGTTGCTGATTATGCTGCTGATGATGGTGTTGATGATGATGATGATGATGATGATGATGATGATGATGATGATGATGATGATAGTGATAGTGATGGTGATGACGATGATGGTGATGATGATGACGACGACGATAATGATGATCATGATGCTGATGATGGTGGTAATGATGATGATGACGATGATGATGACGATGATGATGCTGATTATGATGATGATGATGATGATGATGATGATGATGATGATGATGATGATGATGATGATGATGATGATGGTGGTGGTGGTGGTGGTGGTGGTGGTGGTGGTGGTGGTAGTGGTGGTGATGATGCTGCTGATGATGATGATGATGATGACGATGATGATGGTGATGACGATGGTGGTGGTGATGATGATGATGATAATGCGAATGCCGATACTGATACTGATTATGATGCTGATTATGATGAGGAGGAGGAGGAGGAGGAGGAGGATGAGGAAGACGACAGGAAAGGAGGAGGGCAGGAACGGACAATGACAAGGAGGATGAGAAGTCGAGCTCAAGTTCTTGAGTGACGATGAAGGCCATCGTAGGGACTCTCTTGGGGTTCCCGTGGGGCACTCTTCGGGCCCTCTTGGGGCTCGCGTTGAGAGTTTGGGAGCCCTCTTTGGGCTCATTGGAAGGGTCTGGGAAGTGTCTTGGGGCCCATGACTCAAAACGAAGGGGGTGTATGAATTCGCTGCACCTCTCGGAGGCTGAAGAGTAGCGTCCTGGGGCCCTCTTGGGCCGCTCTCGGAGCGCTCCTGGGGCTCCCGCGGCCCTCGTGGGGCCCTGCTGGGCGTCTCATAAAGGGCTCTCTTAGGCCGTTTTGGGGCCAGCCTGGGGCCTCAAACGCCCATCGCAAGCGAAAAAGCGAGAAGGCATAACAGATTGATTTCCCCTAGGTTTCGGAGCCATCTGGGCCCCTTGGCGGGCACTGGAAACCGTTGTGGGGCCGTCTTGAAGCCTCTTGGATGTGCGTCGGAGGCTGTCTTGAGCCATCTTGAGGTATCTTGACCGATCTTGGAGACCATCTTGGACTCGCGGAGGCCCTCTTGGAGCCGTCGTGGACCAACACGCACCCTCTGACACCTCGACCCCCCCCCCATGCCCAGAGGAGGGGGTAGGGATGGGGGCAAACCCTTCCCCCGAGCAGGGGAAGGAGGGACTTGAGCAGAGAGAAGACACAAGTTCGTTAAACCACCTACGCCCAGAGGGCTGGTGGGATTCACGGGTCCTTACGAGACGCCTTGGAGGCCATCGTAGGGTTTATTGGACCGTGAAGTTTACTTGCCCTTCCGGGTGGCTGGCGCTTTAGGCCGAAGGCTGTTGGGAACGTTGAAAGACCAAAAGCAGCCTAGTGCTTGGCACGCCGTGCACCCCTGCGGCAAGCTAACAGGGGACGGCGCATGACGGGCAGCGCGCTTAGACTCGAAACGTTGCGCGATGGACATAGGCACGGAGGGGAAATATGTATGTATCAAGTGGGGGAGGTCCAGGGGTGAGTGGTGGCGGGATCGCTCCGTCGGCTGGACGTGGCGGATGATGGGAAGCGCGCTTAGACTGAACGAGTCGCGCGATGGACGTTGTTTTCAGGCCCGGAGCGAACATATGTATCAAGTGGGGGGGTCCAGGGGGGGAATGGTGGCGGAGTCGGGTTTCGATCGGGACGTGGCGGATGACGGGAAGCGCGCTGTTGACGCCCTGGCTCGAGCGATTCTTGGCGTTTCTCGTGTGTTGGCGGGG